GTGCACGGTGTGGAGTACCGCCTAAAACTTTCCTCCTGTCATGGGACGAAGGTTTACAACAATTTTGTTCCATTTTCGCTTTTTTCGCTTTTTTGTTGCATTTGCAATAGTCAGTCTAGCGCAAGTATCATGTGAAACCATACGGAAAGTTTCTGAGGTTGAGATAAGGAAAAAAGAAGTATAACATTGGTCCTTCCCAGTGACTGGGAACGGAATTCGCTTGTAATACCTTCAACTTTACGGACAGAAGGGCATTCTCTGTTGATAGATCCGGCCTGTGTCTGAAGGATTGTCAAAAACGAGAAGGCAAGGAAAAACACTAAATGAGCCCTGAACTGTGGCGATCGCTAACGATACGGTAGCAGCCGCTCCCGGTTCACGGTGCAATGTGGGCCATGCATGGCAACTGTATGATTATATAACATTTTCTGCTGCAAAATGTGCAAGTTTAGTTAGTGTATCTTTTGTTGAAACTGGTGGGTTGAATGGAATAGTGAGAAGTTAGGTGCAGTGATATTTTTGAGAATATTTTTGTAACTAATTATTTAGGTCAGGTCATGTGTTCAGAGGGTGCAGGTTAAACAAGATAGTAAAAACTAGAAAATGGGTTTGCACATTCTCTTCCAGTAACATGGAAATGATCATCTTTGCTTGGAACAAATAACAAAATAATATCTAATAAAAAACAGGTCAAGAAAAAACTTTACTTCGAGACTCCCACGAGTGCAATAAATCCACATAACGATGAATTCATTTTGTTGATTGAACGCGATACCGTAGAATTTGTTGAGATTTTCGTTTTCGATGAGTTTCAACTGAAAATTATTTTATGGCAGATGAATGCAATATCGATTGAGGAATCTGGGAATAAAACCACCTCCTTGAGCAATTTGAGTTCCGACTTTGGGAAAGTGATATTTCGCATTTGCTGGAAGCGTTTAATCGCTATGCGGACACCATTCGACAAGGCTTGATTGGCCGAAAGCAGCTGTTTCGAGCCCAGACTACCAGAAAATGAACCGGAACTTTGTGATACGCTTGCCAGAGAGCGTTCAGATCTCTGAAGAAGGAAGACATCACTTTATTTGAACAAATGGTTCCCTGGTATCCCACGACACCGACTAGTCTTGGCTAAAAACATATGAAAAGACGAAGTTACTAGCTGAGCTCGTACGCTTGCTTCTGTTGTCGTCCGGCTACAGCGAATTTCCGATGGAAAAAGCACCCATTTCAATTAATTAGGGGCGATGAGGTGAGTGCTACACGAAAGAAGGAAGAACCATGAGAGAACGGCCCAGAACCCGAGAAATGGTACCCCTTCCTTGCCCGTTGATTCGAGCATTGATGCGACTCTCATCGCTGTGCCCTCTTCAACACTACGCTCTCTCAGCTATCTAATCACTCGCCACGTATTGAACTACGGCGAGTGATCAGATGATCGGTGGGCGGAGATCGCCGGACCCGCCAGCTTTGAGGCATGATAGGTCGCCGAGGTCAAATTTTTCCATGCGAATTGCGCGTCAGTTCGCACCCTCAGGAGGTCCGTGGGTCCCTCAACTAGGTCAGTTTCCCTTTCTTCGACCTTCATTCTAATCGTGAATTCCTCCTTTAAGAACATTCCTAAGGAGTAGATGTCGGCCGCCTGCGACCCTTGCGGGAGTGTTTTTCGTGTCACTAACTCACGAATTATTTCTGGCGCCTGTTGGACATATTCTGAAAAAAATGCCAGAGTTTAAAAAAAATTTATTTCTAAATTTCAATTTTTCTCATTACCAATGACTAACAAACTGATAAGAATTCAATGAATCATGGTAAGTCTGTTGTTGTTTGAATTCGTGTGCCAAAAACTCCGTAGGAACGTTACTGAGATTTAAAAAAATCGAACGAAAGATTCAAGATGAAGAAAAGGAAATCTGTTTAGAGGGGTGGGCTTAGCCTCTTAACTTAGAGTTACGGGTCGGGATTAGATGCCAAGAAGTAATCATCCGTAAAGCGAGAAAGTGGAAGGAAAGAGGGGTCCCCGCTGTTTTAGTATGTCGTACCATCCGCCAGCAAAGACAGAGCCACAGTCTTGTTATGGAGAAAGAGTGCACTCAGCTCCGCTGTTCACCCAATTGTTCAGTCGATTGGCCACTTCGCACTTATTGGGAGTCTTCCGTAACCTACTCGCTCATAATAAAAAGCCACCCCGATGGATTAGGAATTTAGAGGAGCAAATGTACCAGTGGGAGAATGGGTAATGGCAGCCCAGGCTATGGCTTTTTGAAGCACCGTGCGACAGCCTCTTTCTACACGTTTGAGATACATGGAATAAGGTAAGCCTTCATGGTAATTCTTCAATTTTCTTCTCACTCACTTCTGTCAGCGAGCCGATCAGTCTCGTCCTCGCCTTCGTTGAGAATATATTTGATTTCATTGTGATAAAGCTTCTCGCTGATGATGTTCTCCGTTCCAAAATTTGTCAACTTTACCGTCCAATTGGAATCCACCAAGCAGTTTTGTAAACACAACAAGCCATGGTGTATTATTGGCGAAGCGTGCAAAAATACTAGTCCCTGAATTAAAGCGTTCTCAAATCATTCCCATTCTCAATTGAAAAGTCACTTGTCTGGAAAATCTCACCTTAACCACGTCCTTTGCGAACGACACTTGGAAATTACGTCCTAGCTTGAGTTCATCGTTGAATAATATATCCTGAAATGTTGCTAAAGGTTTCTTTTAAGATCGGGGATTCTTCTGATATATAGCATTTTTTGATGTGCAAAGAAATGTGGTGAAGTGTCGTTGTGGTGGTGAAGTGGCTATGCCAAACAACCCATAAGAGGAAACGTTATTCTAAGGAGGAAAAATGTTTCCCAATACGAAGGGATCTCAGCAAATTGGTTTAGTTTCTTTGAAGGCAGTGGCGATGATAACTTTGTGTAGGTTTGGAATGGGAATAGGGTTCAAATGATCAGTGGCGAAAAAAATATAAAGCAGTCCGTTAAAAATCCGCGAATAGTTACCCTTGTTTTGCTCTTGTATCGTGGAACCAGTTTATGACGTAGCTAAGATATTCAACCGAAATGCACAATGCAAATAAGTTCAGGACACGGCTGTTTGGCACAAAGTGCGCTTTCGGAATGAAAAGCGTGCGACAATGCGGGGCACTTTGGGGCGGCACTGTTTCTTCTGATTTGGCCACAACTAGCGCTCCTTACCATTCGCTTCCTTGGCCACCTAGTCACCCAGCTGAGCATAGATGTACTTTCACCTACTTTCGTAGCCCTCTCTTTACCTGCTGTTTTTTTCGCGCTTAACTGTCACTTAGAGCAAACGCCTCATTATGTTACACTTTTGTGTGCCCATAAGCTATGGTGACCGCTAAAAGTACAGAGTGGGGCAACGTGTGGAATTTCGAAGGTCATTTCTGCACTCCGAGAACGCTTAGAATGCAGGTGAACCCCTTGGAGAAGTAAAGGCTGAAGAGGAGCGGAGAGGAAGAGAATTTTTCGCCACAGCTACTACCCAGAGCCAGTGGAAAGCGCCAAATCGCGCAAGGTGCAGCGGTGTGGAGTACCGCCTAAAACTTTCCTCCTGTCATGGGACGAAGGTTTACAACAATTTTGTTCCATTTTCGCTTTTTTCGCTTTTTTTGTTGCATTTGCAATAGTCAGTCTAGCGCAAGTATCATGTGAAACCATACGGAAAGTTTCTGAGGTTGAGATAAGGAAAAAAGAAGTATAACATTGGTCCTTCCCAGTGACTGGGAACGGAATTCGCTTGTAATACCTTCAACTTTACGGACAGAAGGGCATTCTCTGTTGATAGATCCGGCCTGTGTCTGAAGGATTGTCAAAATGAAAGAACGAGAAGGCAAGGAAAAACACTAAATGAGCCTGAACTGTGGCGATCGCTAACGATACGGTAGCAGCCGCTCCCGGTTCACGGTGCAATGTGGGCCATGCATGGCAACTGTATGATTATATATATATTTTCTGCTGCAAAATGTGCAAGTTTAGTTAGTGTATCTTTTGTTGAAACTGGCTAAGGTGGGTTGAATGGAATAGTGAGAAGTTAGGTGCAGTGATATTTTTGAGAATATTTTTGTAACTAATTATTTAGGTCAGGTCATGTGTTCAGAGGGTGCAGGTTAAACAAGATAGTAAAAACTAGAAAATGGGTTTGCACATTCTCTTCCAGTAACATGGAAATGGATCATGTTTGCTTGGAACAACTAACAAAATAATATCTGATAAAAAACAGGTCAAGAAAAAACTTTACTTCGAGACTCCGCACGGAGTGCTAATAAATCCACATAACATGAATTCATTTTGTTGATTAAAACGACGATACTCCGTACGAATTGTGCTTTGAGTATTTTCGTTTTCGATGAGTTTCGACATCTGATAAATTCACTTTTGGCAGATGAATCATAATATCGATTGAGGAATCTGGAATACAACCACCTCCTTGAGCAATTTGAGTTCCGACTTTGGGAAAGTGATATTTCGCATTTGCTGGAAGCGTTTAATCGCTATGCGGACACCATTCGACAAGGCTTGATTGGCCGAAAGCAGCTGTTTCGAGCCCAGACTACCAGAAAATGAACCGGAACTTTGTGATACGCTTGCCAGAGAGCGTTCAGATCTCTGAAGAAGGAAGACATCACTTTATTTGAACAAATGGTTCCCTGGTATCCCACGACACCGACTAGTCTTGCTGAAAACATATGAAAAGACGAAGTTACTAGCTGAGCTCGTACGCTTGCTTCTGTTGTCGTCAAGTTTGTATACAGACTTGAAAAATCGGGAATTAACAGTCCATTTTTTTTTTCTGAAGTCAGAGTTAACAGTCCTCACCGGATTTTTGAAACTTGAAATCTTTTAAGTTATAACACCTTACAATGAATTCAAAATTGGGGAATACCTGAGAGAGTATTATATACATTACGCCTAGCAATGATGAAGTTTTTTTTGTAGTTCAGGCGCATGTTACGAAAAATGGTTGCACAATGGAGCTAACAATAGGGGGGAGGGGTAGGGTCTCCATTGGTCCAGAAAAAAACCTGGGAGGGAATGGACGGAAATTGAACCCCCTTGCGTTGGTTGCCGCCTCGGTCGAGACCGGGCTTACGTATACGTGCTAATCCCGATAGCTGCAGCAACGCAAATGACAATATCCTTTCAATGATAATGGACCACCTGAAAAACTCAAAGATACTTCCGTTTAACATGCGATGCCCTTTCATAATCAAGGGAAAGTATGGCAAAAACAGTGCCGACATTCAACTAATCACAGCCCGACCCTCCTGTAGGAGGCGGACCGCGCCAATGCAGGCAGCGCGTTGCCCAGGATGTGATGGCCGCACCCTCTGCCGCGTTACATGTATCTACTCGTTCCCATGGGAGCTTTACCTAGGTTTTTGTAGTGGGCTACCTCCCTTTCTTTCAAATTCGATTAATCGTGACTTACTCTTTTAACAGGCGATCTGCTACACGCTGCAGCGGGAAAAGATGATTGTTTCCACCATAACTACGTTGAGAGGCGGTAACGCGTCTCATTTTGCGCACCTCGTTGGCCATTGAGACGCGGTTTGCGCGTCTCACCCCTTGTCATCCCTTTTTCTAGCGTATGCGGGATTCTTCCCAATTTGCTTGTCTCTATTCTATGGATTACAACATAACATAACTGTAAACGACATGGGTCACGGTATGATCAAATGCTCCAGTTTAGCAGAAGTTTTTAAGCACAGCGGAATTGGCAGCTCGGTTCATTCCTCGTTTTCTTCCTATTCTCATGAACATGTCAGTGAGAAAGGGTAGTGAAAGTAAATACAAACTTGAAGGGATAGAAAAAAATATGTAATATTTTCGCTTGGCACATACACATCAAAAATAGTTTTGGCATCCACTACAGTGGAAAGTACTGAAGGTTCCCTTTTCATTACCATTACACGCTCTTTTGATCGGGAGAAACTACGTCCTCGATTACCTTTTGAGCAGTGAATATTTGTCTGAATGGTTTCGTACCAGTGATGCTTTCCTAGAGTTATCATTCGATATTTACGATTGCTGGGTGCGGCGGCGGCGCGCGCAAGATCGTTCTGTCCCAGTTGGCCAAGAAAACCAAAATGCTCGCTGTCGTCAATGTGTTAAAAAGCTATTGCGTGGACTGCCATTACCCATTTTCCTACTCGAACTTTTGTCCTTCTAAATTCTCAATCCATCGAGGTGACCGCTTCTTGTGCTTGTAATTCAGCTTTTCTTTGGTTACAAAAACTCTAACGCAATGTAGTAATTTTATCGAAGACACAGTTTCACTGTAACAAAAAACGTACCGATTTATTGCCCTCCACTAGCTGTATGCTATCCCTGGGGATACGCCATGTCATGTCATAAAGCAACCGTTCTTTTCTGAATGAAGAAACTTGAATAGGAATATTCGAAAATGCTTTTTAGCACTCACTGTTTTATGTAAATGAAATAGGAAAGTGGCGAAATGGTAGCCAAGAAGACCATAACACCGAGAAGGACGAAATACGTTGTGTAGTCGCATTCGGATCCAGTGAAACCACAGTAAGGGACTGCTTTTGGCAATTGACCATTGCTTGATGACCAGTAGGATTGTATCACTTCGTGAGCTACCTGAAAATGTTTCTTCCAGACTGAAAAGGAACAGCAGTCTTGTCGGGATGGCTCTAGTTGAGGCATAACATTCTCGAGAACGTCATGCTTCAACTGGAATGGGAAGACATGGGAGTGAAGGTCGACGGCCGGCAACTACACCACCTTCGTTTTGCTGACGACATCGTTCTTATAACGCCGAACAAAGCGGAGCGAATGCTGGCTGATTTCGACTGCGCCTGTGGTAAGGTTCGGTCTACAGCTGAACCTAACGATGTTTATGAGAAACGGATTGGTTCCTGATGCCCCATTCACGCTCAACGGAACGAACATCACCGAATGCTCCAGCTACGTGTACCTAGGTCGGGAAGGTCAACATGATGAACTCTAGCTCCAGAGCTAAGCAGAGCCATTCTTCCCCTGAGTTAAACCACAAAGACTTGGACTCTGCGCGACTCTGCGACGAGCATGCGGTCAGCGTTATCCAACGCGCTGTCGAGAGGACGATGCTAGGAGTAACCCTATACACGCAAGTGCAGAGGGGAATCCGGAGTGCCGGAACTACGCCAACGATCGAAGATCAGGGACGCTGCCGTTTTCGCCAAGGAATCGAAGATAAGGTGGGCCGGACACGTCATGCGATTTTGCGATGACCGTTGGACCAGAGCGGTTACCGACTGGATCCCTCGGGACGTCAAACGAACACCTGGACGACCGCCGGCCCGATGGTCAGACTTCTTCACGAAAGCTCTGAACGAAAGGGATGAGAACTGCGCTCCCTCTAGCGATTAGGATCGACTATACCACAAGACAGGGACGAATAGAGATGTTGCTAGCGCCTGCTTTTCAGCGAGACAACAGGTGATACAGGTGATAATGGTCAAATATTCACATGAGATATTGCAAAAATATGATATAGCATGGTGCCTTCAATTAATAGGATTTCAAGGTGAGGCGGTTCGATGAAGGGCACTCCTGAGAAGGAAAGCACGCGACACGTTAGGGGCGAGGTCTGGATTCCGTGGGACACTTTTTTGCATCTACTTTGCTGCTAGGGCTCCTTCTGCCACCAAAGTGCCACATATAGTCTGAGGGGACCCTCATATACTCTCTACACTATCCATCTTTCTCCTTCATGAGCACCCATTTTTATCGTGAGCTTCAGAGGCAAGAGCCAAGTTCGATCTGGTGCGGCAATCGCACTCGAATACGAAAGTGCAGATGCAAGATGGACCAAAGATGGCGAAAAAAGGAAGAAACGTGGTCAAAAACACAGAAAAAAAGAATTTCCTCGCTCTATGCAGTGCAGAAGTCCAAGAGGCAGACGCAGTAAGAGAGCATGTTTGGACCGACATATGGTGAAAGGAGAACTTCCGGTTGAGAGAGCACCGCCGATCCCAATCCATCAGGAGACTCTCGTTAGGCTGAGCTTCGACTCTGCGTTCAAGTTCAAATGAGCAGCGCTCCCGAGGCTTTTATCGGAGCTAATGTGCATCCTCCCCAGAAAAGGAGGCAAAAATAAGAGAGGAGCATATGGGGAAGTACAGTGCGCCACAACCGAAGAGTAGTTCCTTGTCTCCTCTCCAACCCCCAGAATACCTGTAATCGATGCTTTTGAGATGGCGAGATCACGCAGACGCAGTGCACTAACGCTAGATACACGCATCACAAAACTCTCAAAATGTCCACTATTCAAAGTATTCAAATAGCACGAAGGGCTTACGTGTTCTGAACACTGCTCAGGATTCCTGTCACAATTCTGGTTGTCCACATTCCTCGCCTCAAGTTCTACCACTATTCGTAGTGTTCCATTCGTCGCGTGGTAAGTAGCGTAACTGGGTACGCGAATAGCTTTGTTGTTCATCAGCACCTGGCCTGTTGCACCTGGAAGAGCAGTTCTATATCGGGATATATTTTGACCATTTTCATATGTCGAATGTCAGGTTTTGGCCTGGCGCGACCGAAAACGAAGGATTTCTTCAAGCCCTACGGCAGTATAGCATACATTATACGAAGTTATACGAACCCGAAAGCTAATGGTGTTTCTTGTTGATGAAATTTTTGTCTAAATATGCTACATGTTTCTTTTTTCAGAAGAGTGTCTGAAGTTTGGAATAATGCGAACGCAAACTAAGGTCAGCTGTTCTCACATTCAAAGAGGACCAAATATCATATATTGCTGAATAGCTACATGAATTCATGATATTGTTGCAGATTTTGAGCCTTCAATCGATTGGAACACTAGTTTTCTTTTAATTCAACACCAAAGAGGCAAGTTTTGAAGATCAGATGGGAAGGCTCCGTTATTCCGGACATCCTCTTACGAAGCCGAGTCAGCTTTGCCCTACACGATGAAGTGAGTCGTCAGACGACCTAAAACATCCTTAAAAATCAAGCTTACTCCACAATGCCTGACTATCGGGACTCGGACGATGTTTCTCATTCTCTCCACACAATAAAATTCCGATTTTTCGCTGAATTTTTTCTGTCATCTTTCTTCATGAATAGACCTCGTTGCGCGAAAGCTAGTCTATCAATTCCCAGGGTTCCTTTAGATATTCAATAAGACGTTTTCCAAACGGCTCTTGTGCGGAACTCGGCAGCATTTGGACCGGCAGGAAAACTTATAGTCGGATAGCTGGAGTCGTTTTTCACTTGAAAATTTTCGTTGCTCAGGAGAATCTACTCCTTTTGTACCTTTCAAAAACTTAGCATTTCTGACCATCTGTGTTGTGCACAGCTTATCCACTTGTGCCGCAAATTTCCCTGTGAAACACATACTTCACCTCAGTGAAGACGTATATATACCTCCGCTTCCAAATCATTTACATGGTTATGGAAAAAAGAAAATAGAAAAAAAGAATGACTCAAACATCTTATGGAGCTAAGAAAACCTTTCCTAAAATGAAACACCTGATGCGTGCGTGGATCACATGGCTTACAAATATACACTGTTCCCTGATTATTTCGTTGATATAAAAAATATTAAAAACACTAAGATCTTATCGATCGGCATGCGATTACTAACTGACTGGCCAGGGCGGCCGACAGGAATCCCCGTCGCGCGGCAAGAGGGCAGAGTCGATGCGCAGCGCGTACTGTAGTGATTTCGCGTCAAGTTGAACAGAGAGTACCACTGTACGTCCCACATCGCACAGCACGCGCTGTGACGGGCGACGGATTTCTGCCATGTAGTACGGGCTGGACACACGGCAAATTGTGCGGTGA